AGAAGCATTTGACTTCTGACAGACATTACGACTTAGGATTTAAATTATAGATCCACATTCTCATTCATTTTGTTTTTAATTTTTTTAAAAAACAAAACAATTCCAATTTCAAACCACACTTACTTATATCAACTCTTCCTATAGTTTATACAGTGTGTGTGTGTGTGTGTGTGTTTCTACATAATAACAAGGTTTCTTCTTGTGTAATGGAAAATAGGGTGATCACAGTTGCCATTGATACTGATTCAAGCTGTGGTTAAGGTTACTGGGATAATGTATTTCCATTACCAGCCTGTCAGTCAGGGCTTGTATTTTTTCCTTTTTCTATATTTTAGAAGTAATTTGTAATGATTGCTTATTGGTTTTTCAATAGGTAATTCTTTATTTTCAGAGCTCTGAATTCCAACATTTAGCCTAATTGTATTTCCCTCTTGGTTCTGTAATAAAAGGTATAACTGGACCATCATTAGTGAGATGTTTTTAAGCAGACATCTGAACATAAATATTTGCAGATATGCAGCAGTTAGATATGAGTCTCTGACTCAAATTTGCAAATGACCCATTTGGTGTTTTGCTAGCAACGAGGAGTCCGGTCCCTGTGTTTGGAAGGGAATGATTTATGTTGGTTCTGATGAATGAAGTATTGGGGCAGTTTGCATTGAATGGGTGTGAGGGGAAACAGTGTATGAAATTCTATATTAAGATGATTTTAAAAGTACACATTGCTTCATTTACAATTGAGTTATCACTCCAGTCTTGATCATCCTCTGCTTTTTAGGGTTTTTTCTGAATACCTTTTGAAGTATCAGAGGGTCAGTGCAATCCTGGCACGGTAGTGCCTTGTGTTGAAATCAAAATCTTCTGTCAGAGTAACAAGAATGAATGTGTAAGGTCCTGTAAGTTTGATTTCAGTCATGCACCTGCTGCTTTCGATCCTTCTAGCTTGAGGTTTGTTTTAGGTGATATTGACAGAAATTTACAGCCCAGGGCCTCTATTTAAAACTCAAGAAAGATCTAAAGGGGGAAAAGATGTCGGAGTGAAAGAAGGTGTTTTGGGGGTAAGGGTAATTGCAAAAGAAAAACCATTGACTATCTAGAAAACAAATAAATTAGATTTTACTTATAAATGATAAATTATAGTACTGTGCTTCAGATGTTTGTGATGCTATTTAAAATGGAAACACTATTTTGCACAGAAAGGGTCAAGAACTCTATAAACACAGAACATCACTTGTCACACACACCACACTCTCACCGAGGTTTTGTTCAAGTTGGAGAAGTAGTAATAAAGGTTCATCTTTCCTTGAGTTTAAAGCAATGCTGGCAGGAAGTTTCTACAGTGGGTCCGTCTCTTTATTTGCAGCCATGTTGGGGGTTGAATAGAAGATAGAACACTGCAAATGTATTGTTTCCAGAGATTAATCTTAATAGTAAAATACTCTTAGTCCAAGTACCTTTTACTGCCTGCCTAAATTCCCCTTATATAAAACCTCTTTTTGAAGCATTGATTTACTTATGCTGTCTGGCAAAACTGTTCTTGTTGCCCTGTGGAGTAGTATCTGCAGCTGCATCAACGACCAACTACTAATCAGGTGTTGTGGAGCAAAATATTTTCAAAGATTTGCTGCATGAGCCTTTTGTAAAAAGAGGGAGAATGTCCACTATATTCTGTGGTGTTCTTTACCAAATTTATTTTCTTCAATGACTGTAAAAATAATAATTTATCATACAGTTCTATTAGAAGCCCCTATCAGGATCAGGGCCCCACTGCTTTTAGTCTCAGTAATGAATTCATTTTGCGGGGAGGGGGGCAAAGTGCTGTTACCTTCATGCGGGGGAGGGGAGGATGGGGAGGCTCAGTCTTTTTCAGTGTATGTATCACACAGCTTAACAAGAGCGATGTTTTTATGGTCTCTGCCCCTTTCACTTGTGATCATGCTGGCCATCTTCTTTCTCAATCATGAACTCAACACATCCCCTATATTCAGGGCTTGAAAAACACCTATCAGCTCCAAGCTGTCACCAGACTGAAATACACTGGTATCCCAAGTCTTCTTACTTAGTCATTGACAGGTCATGCATTCATCATTACTTGGATTGAGTCTCCACTATCTTGCTGGCTAAAATTAGAACCTGCAATTAATACCATTTGCCACTTCTGATGCTTTCCCTCAACCAATTTAGTGCTGGGTAGTCTCCCATCCAAGTTAATGCATGTGTGCTGTTCTTGCACATAGACCCACCTGCAATGGGTGGGCGGGATGGGGAGGGGGATCATACAAGCAGCTCTTTGCTATAGTGCAGTGAACCAGAGGTTTCCCTTTTCCCGAAACTGACACTAGTTCTCCTTCGAGAGTTACAGCTTTGATGAGCCAGGTCACAGCCAATTTGAAGACCAGTGGCAGTAGACCCTCTGCTGGCGACCTAGCAGATCAATGTTTTACTGGGATGGCAATCTTACTGACAGTATTTCTCCAAGTTGATGGCTGTATGGGGGAGAAAGGGCTTGAAGGACCTTTCCAATCACATCCTTTTTACTAGGATAGTTGACTAATAGCCTTTTGCTGGAGTGTTCTCTTTTCCTTATACCCGTTATGTCACAAGCAGGACTAACATATTCCAGGTTCAAGGAGATGGGGATGGTACAAAGTATACTCACATCAGGGCTTCCTATTCCGGACAGTGGCCAATGGACCCTCCTGGCCACTTTAAGGCAGCATCACCTTTCACACCATTCAGTGACATTGACTCTGGGTGTGTCAGCCAGTTCAGGCAGACAGTATATTTTACAGTTGGCTCACGTTGGAAAGTTTTAATCTCCACCATATAGGCTAGATATTTTTCTCGGCAATACCAAAAAATGAAATTTTGTACAATCTGATGCCTCTCGCTTGGGAATTGTTCCTACTTGTTATAGGTGACTAGATTTTTCAAGCCATACCTAGGTGAATTATATCAATTATTTACATTGAAAAGTTGCATCAGGAAAGTTATTGATGCATTTTAAACTGAACTAATGACTTTAGACTTTGAAAAACAAACTCCCCTCCTCCCCCGCTTACTCACTTTTTGCTTTTCACTTAATCTCTTCCTTTCTATTTCTTCCCCTTCAGTTCTGCATATGCTGCTTTGTTTCATGGTCTGCTTGTTTTCCTTTATTCCCACACAAGGTTTCCTGAGGCTTGGTCTTCTTCCCCAGCTCTGATCATTCTTTATCTTGCTCCTGTTTGGATACCTCTCCTTTTGCAGGTTGGCATTTTCAGTACCAGTGGTGGCTGTGATTTGTAGGTTGGCTCCAGTTTGCTCTATTTATACTTTTAGAGACAGCAAGGCTGGCTTCTTTTAATTGTTTCCAGCTGCTTTTACACTAGGCAAGTTGACCCTGGTCACCTGTAGAAACAACTGGAACAGAGGAGAGTAGCTAGTGGCAGTGGTTAACTCACTGGAAACTATTGATCAATGAATCATAGTTTTTGAATCTCTGCTTTATGAAAACCGATTACAAGAGCAACCATATTAAACACCCATCAAAAGAACAATTTGAGCAAATTGAGGATGGAAGATGTTTGAGGACTTGCCTGGTTTTTTTCTCTGTACAAATTTTTCTACTTAACCACTTGACATAGTCTGTCTTGTGCTTATGATAACGTGGGATGCTGCAATTTCCAGCAAGAAATAAGAAAACTGTTGGAGTTGATACTGCTTTGAGAGCAGCTATATTAGGTACTTGAAACTGTATTCTCTCCCTGCCACTTGGGAACGCTATCTGCATTGACCATGTTTAGGCTTTGGTTATTTTTATTAATAAATATAAATTTCACCATACACACAAACTAATGAAAAAATATTTCCATCGATAATAATTACAATTTACAGATAGGCAAGGTAAGAAAAAAGTTGCTTGAGAACTTAATGAAGCTTGATTTAAGGATATTTCCTTTTTTATTTTGACATGTGATGTTGACAGTATCGTTTAAAGTATTCAGAATACTCTAAATTTTAAAATACTAAAAATTAAAATATTCTAAAATATTAAATGTTATAATATCAATCATTTTTAATATTTATATTAGAATACATAAATAAGAATAAAATTAGAGTAAAATCTTGAAATTTTAAAATCTAGAATAAAATAATCTAGAATCTATATAATAAATAATCTAGAATAAAAATAATCTAGAATCTAAAATCTAAAATAAAATCTAGAATTATAAAATTAGAATAAGAATTAATTAGAATAAAAATAAACTAATATTTAATAAACGTTACATATTCTAAAGTATTACAAATTAAAAATTAAATTAATCTAAATATTAAATATAAAAATATTCTAAATATATTCTTAATATATTCTAAATATCTACTGTCATCGGATAATTGACTGATCCCTTCTGAAAGCCCCCATAATATCCTGCAACTGTGAAAATGTAAGTTATCTGTCACTTACACAAAAATTAAATTCTCTCCATCTTATTTATATTAAACTGACAAACTAGAAAATTAGGAGAACACTTTCAGATTGATCCACAGTGGAGATTGGAAAGAGATCATAAATAATTTGGCACTGATGACATTCCTATCCAGTAAAAATGCAGGACTAGATAAATATTTCTCCTTGTAATGAATTTTTTTATCAAAACCAAAATCTAGATCTAGCATAAATCAATATTTTTGAATCTATAAATGGCTGCTTTTTCTCCCTACTTTTTGCTTCTATAATTGTTTCACTATATTGGTCACCCTTGCCTTGTCAGTTCCTTCCTATTATTTTGTCAACTTTTTCTTGTTTTGTGTACGTGGCTGGTGAAGTTTATCCTTAAAAACCATGGCCTAATTGGAACTCTCACCATTGCACACTTGGGTTTTGCCTCAGCTCAGGCCTACATATCTACGATCCCACCTTTGGTCATCATCATTGTATGTGAGAGAGAGATTATTCAGGACAGCATCAGGATTTTTCACTTTATTATTTTATATCTCTTTACCTCTTTTTAATGCAGACTCAAGAATGAACAATCCGTCAGAAACCAGTAAACCACCAATGGAGAGTGGGGATGGGAATACAGGTAAGAAATTACCATTAAGTGCTCAGAGTTGGCATTCTGGGAGAATTGAATGGCTTTTAAAGGGACAATGTCCTATTTACATATAAACACGGGCTGTTTTCTGTACATTTTTGTAATGTTTTTTAGTCTGAGGGGTAGGTTTGCCAAGTATCCAGTATTGGCCCGGTATTTGTGACCTCTGTCCAGTTTAAAAAAAAAAAATTCTGTTTTTCTTCCATGGAAGGGCACTTGGGACATTCCACATCTGTGCGGGGGCAATGGGAGAGGTGAGCACGGGGATTTAAAGATGCAGTGCCTCTTTCTTTTTTGCTGTTTTTGCTCAGCCAACCCCCCTCCCCCCCTCCCCAACCATGTTCAGTATTTTTTCTTTTTTTTTTTTTAAGTATCTGGCAACCGTGCTCAGGGGATGTTAGACTGCAGTGCGACACCTATGGCTCACCTGTGCCAGTTGACTCAGGCTCATAGGGCTCAGGAGCTGTTTGACACTGGTGTCAATGTTAGAGCACAGCTAGCTCAAGCCCAAACATCTATGCCACAGTTAAACAGCCCCTCAGCCTGTGACCTGTGAGCCTGAGCAAGCTGGCATAGGCCAGCCATAGATGTCTCACTGCAGTGTAGAAATATCCTTAGAGATCCCTGGTTGCTATTTAATATATTAAACTACAGTGTATTTAGCTGTTCATTTATGCAGAATTTGCCTTTTCTCACACACTATTTTTTCCATTCTTTTTCTCATCTCTGTAGAGAGGTAGGATTGCTGGTGGGAATTGAAGTAGACTTCTACACCTTTCAGATTCTTCTTTGTTTTTCCTAATACCACAATCTTAACACACTTTTACATAAGAGCTCCCTAAAGAGCTGCTTGTAGATGATGGAAGGAAAAGAGTTCATTATGTGTTGTTTTTTAAAATGTAAATGGTATTTAAAACATACTGTTTTTATCTGTAGCTAGATTTTAAAAAATACTATTTTATACTGCTAGTTCCTTTCTATATACCATTTAATATACTGATTCTCTCTGGTAACAGAATAGAAATGAAAACTTTGAATGAAAAAGTGAAGAGAATGAAATAACTCAGAATCAGCATCTCTCTGTATATAAGTCCAGGATATTACTTAAGGGAAATTTTAATTTTAAGCAATAATTTCTCATTGCTTTTAAAGAAGTCTGGGTGCATTGTAATGGGATAAACAATTTTTTCCCTTCACTTTCCTCAATAACAAGAGTATTCATCCTTTATTTCAACTCTAGGAGCTGCTATGAACTTGGCAATTTACAACATTTTATGCTGGTAATTCTCTCATGTTCTTTGTACAGGACTTTAACAACAATACTACTAAGGACAATTGAGCTTTGCCTGTATTAATTCAAGATTGATGGATATTTTCCTGCCAGATTGGGGTGGGGAAGCTTTTTTGTGTTGGGAGCCACTGACCCACAGAAAAATAATTTGGGCCACATACAAGTGAGAAGTGAGGGGGCAGGGAATAATCCCACAACTCTCATTTACCTAGCCTCCAAGTGAGAAGAAGAAAACATAATCCTCACAGACAATCTTTCCCATCCATGTGCGGAATACATTTTTAGGTGCATAGGCAGGGCTCGACAAACTGCAGCGAGAGCTACTTGCCAGCCCCGCACCGCGCATGCGCCAGACCTTCACTGTGCATGCGTGCAGTGCCGGTGAATGGGGCACATGGAGTGACCGGCTGAAATCTACTCGCCACAGGCGAGTAGAAACAGCGGTTTGTTGAGCCCTGTGCACAGGCATATGTGAATGTGCACCACCAGTAGAAACAAAACCTAGCTGCGGGAGTTCTGTTGATCAGGTGGGTGGCATTTGAATCTCTCCTGAGTGGCTGCATAAGCACACAGCTTACAGAGAACGCTGCTCACAGACATAGCTCCCAACTGAGAAGCAAGACAAGAGAGACATTCCCCTCAGTTCCCTTCAACTCCAGCCCCACTATGGGAGGGGGAAGAGGTGCAAGGCTCAGGGCTTATTCCCAGGGCTGGATTAACTCTTCTGGGGGTCTGGAACTAGTAGATTTTGTGGAGCGCATCCTAAGGCTTTGGGGTGGGGCTAAAAATGAGGTGTTCAGTGTGTTGGTTGCTAGAGAGTGGGTTGAGGATGAGGGAGTGGGGTCTGGGTGTGGGGTGAGGGTGCAGCAGCAGGCTGGGGGTAGGGGTGTAGGAATGGTAGGAAGGAGGGTGCTGGAGTGGGCTGGGGGAAGGGTGCAGGAGAGGGTGCAGGAGTGGGCTGTGGGGAGATTCAGGGGCTGGGCAGGAAGAGGGATGCAGGAGCAGGGTTTGGGTTCTGGGAGGGCAGAGCATGGGGGCACCTATCCGATGCAGCTCTCAGTGAGGACACAAGTGTCTCAGTGCAACTCTTCATGCTTCTAGAGTTGCCAGGTGTCCAGCTTTGAACCAGACAGTCCAGTATTTGAGCTTTCTGTTCGGGAAACAAATTGAGAAAATATAAATGTCCTGTATTTTCTGTGGGTTTTTTTTGTTTTGTTTTTTTTTTCCTTGCCAGGGGGTGAAAATACCGGACACCTGGCAACCCTACGACACACTTGGCAACTGGGCCCAGCCCCTGGCCCCCGATACCTCCCGCCCTCCTGCTTACCTGGTTTCTCAGGGAAGCTGCATTCTGGCTTGATCAAGAATACAAAATGGCCACCGGCAAAAAGCCTAAAGATTAAGGGGAAGCAAATGCCTTCCCTGGGTCTTAGTGCTCAGCTTCTCCCCTGTTCCTATCCTTATTCTGATTCTGCTCACACTGAAAGGGCCATGCTGTTTTAATGCTGTTTTATTTTTTAATTTTTTTTTCAAACAATGGTGTCC